TGACACGGTCCACAGACTAGCTCAAGTGCGTTAGAGGGTCCTACAACCTATCGTTGTCGCCACTTTCCCTTAACCTTCTTTCGTTGAGAGGGAAGCAAGCACTTTCATTGCAGTGATCCTCCAATGCAATCGACTCGAGGCACCCTCTGTGTTGATATCACCATCATCCCAGCACATGTTTTCCCTTGATTATGGTTCTGCATTCTGATTGGACGCCTCCAGTGAATGGATGGAGTCCGAACGGAAGCCCAGCCGGCTCCCAGCGTCCAGTAAAGGCGGACACTACAGTGTGTGTGTGTAAATCCCACCGTTGGACGGCACGGGACTTTGCCTGCCGCGCATAAATGACCGTATTTTCCGCTTGCCGAGGCGCGCTTCCGGCTCGAGCGTGTGCAAGCCTCCCTGGCCGTGCGCGTATTTTTAAATTGCATCTTAGAAGCGTGTGTACGACTGCATCACCTATCGCTAACGAAATAATCGATAGGCGCCGTTAACGCACAGGCGCGGTCACGTGACCAATGGCTCGTCCGCATCTGCCTCCAGCGTCCAGAGTGAATACAGCAAAAACGAACGTCGCTTAACTTGATTCAGTTTACCCAAAATATGCAACTTAAAATAACTTTTTTTTCGAAGATGTACCACTGGGGTTTTGACTGCATGAACTGAGATGGCAAGGAGGGATGAAATGTCGGTGGATAAATGACGCGGCTCAAAACCACTCGTAGTATGGCAGTTCGATCGTCGATTCCGACGATGTCCACTGTGCGCTACACACCAAGATATAGCAGGCACGGTGAATTTCGAGTGAATCAGTTAATAGTGGTAGTGGGCTTGCGCAGCACCTACCACACTCTCACCTCTCTACTCCCCTCCTGGACCCGGTGTCAAGACAGAGTCAAGAAGACCGGAGGCGAGGGAGGGTGCAGGTGGCTGGCACGACCGGGCCTGCACCTATGCGGGCCATCACACCCCCTGATCCACAGCATACACTTGACCGAGATTGTTCACCTATAACAACATCAACACCTCAGAAGGGGTCAGAAGGACGAGGAGGATGACTGGGCAGCCATGCCCACCCTCTGTATACCCAGCGGGAGCGCAAGCGCATCTACGGGCAGGGAACGAGGTGTCAGCGAACTGCCAGCGCATACCAGGCTGTGAGTGCCAGGGGTTAATGGTCCTGGCATAGCACACGCTTTCAGACCTTATTCGGGAAAATCACAAATACTGGTCAACGGGCATAAGACATTTCACAGTTCTCCTGTAAATTGGCGAGCAGTTTAGTAACAGATTTTGTGATGCTAGGGTACCGTAGCTTGCTTTCTTGTGAAACTGATTTGCCACGCAATGGTGTTCACCGTTATGCTGATCGTATAAGGACAGGAGGGGAGACGGTAGGAGGCCTGTACGAGGGGTGCTGAATTCGTGTAGGTACTTTAAAGTGGGGGGACAGTTCTGCTGTTGCAAGAGACGACGTCCACCGTGAGCTTCAACGAGTGGGCACCACACCTGTGGCTCGTGAAACATCTGCCGCACTCTCTCTCTCTCCTCCCTCACCAACGTGCCTTCGACGGTAAAATCGTGTCAGGACGACCGAAGCTGAACGTGGACGCAGTGGCTGACCAAGCCTGGCAGGCCGTCTACGCGTGCCACACACAGCCTGGTCTCCATTGCATACGGCAGGCTACAGTAAAGGCGACTTTGACCTCATAGCAGTGATGTAATGAACACACAAACACGACAGTTTGACCGTCGATTTCGATGATGTCCACCGTGTGCCCCACCTCAGCAGCGGTGGGAGCAGGGACGGTGACTTGCGCAGGGGGTTTATAGTGCCAGAAGACTTGCGCTGCATCTACCAACACTCTCTCCTCCTCCCCCGTCTGAGCCCGGTGTCAAGACAGAGTCAAGAAGACCGGAGACGAGGGAGG